TATATAAATCTGGTGCAGTATTAAAACATAGAAATAACGTTTTTATTAGTTTGCTCAAAAACACTGTAGAAATGTGTTTTTTTAAAAAACCCAAACTTGCAATGTTTTAAACCCTAGCTATGGGCTAAAAAAACAACCTTGATTTCAGCTTGAAATGAGTGAACACAACATACAGTGCTAACTATGGAGAGCAGAATCTAGAAGTATTGTTTTAGCTCTCTAAAATAAAAAAATCTCTAGTCCTCACTTTCTCTGTGCAAAATGGTGAAGAAAAATGGATCATTCTCTCTTAACATGTGTGAGACCAGAGCAGAGCCAAACTGGGGAGCCAATTTGTAAAGTTCAATTTGTAAAGTTCAATTTGTAAAGTTCTGGAACTGAAGCCCTAAGAGGAATAACCTAGGGAGGTTTACTTAGAACCTTATCAAACGCTGGCCACGAAGCGAAGAATAAGCGAAAAATAACCGAAGTAGGAATAAATTCAGTTCTATAGCGAAACGAACGGAATATCGCCCGTTCGGCCATTGCGCAATTAATACGAAGGCTCCCTTCTCTCCCGTCACAAAAAGCCGGCGTCGCAGAATGTGGATGGCAAGGATGGGAGGAAGGAGTCGGGAGGAAAGGCAGCCAAGGGGACCGAGGAGGAGGAGGAGGGCTGGAGGACTGGAGAAGGGAAGGCAGCCCACAGTGGTGTGTCGGTGGGGAAAAATGCGGTGGGGAAAAATGCGGTGGGGAAAAATCTGGTTTGCCTTTTGCCAAGGCAATCCCTTCCCCTCACTGGGATTTTCTCCCTGCCCACCATTGCACAATGAATGTGAAGGCTCCCTTGGTACTTCCCCAACAAACCGAATGTCAAAATCTCTCTATTCCTTATGGATTAGCTCCGTGTTCTGCCAAGTTCCGGGGCAGCATCGTGTGTAAACACGGGGAAACAATACGGATTAGCTCCGTGTTCTGGGGCAGCGTCGTGTGTAAACACGGGGAAACAATACGGATTAGCTCCATGTTCTGGGGCAGCGTCGTGTGTAAACACGGGGAAATAATATGTATTAGCTGTGGATGCCTTTGGATTAGCTCTGCTTCAGACCCCATGTGATAAGGTCCTTAGCTTGGAGAAAAGAAGTTTGAGATAAGATAAAGATGTTTAAATATTTGAAGCACTGACACATAGAAGATGGAGCAAGCCCTTTTTGTTGCTCCAGAAGATAGGCCCTGAGCCAATGGGGTCAACTTACAAGAAAATAGATTCATTTATGGCCAAACATTAGAAGCAACTACCTGATGACTAGAAATGTTTGACAGTGCAATGGGCTACCTCAAAAAATGGTGGATTAATTTCTTTGGAGGCTTTAACAGCTTAAATGGTTCTTTAACTGTGATTCCTATATGGCTCAGGTTTGCTTCTTGGTGTCCCTTCCAGCTCTATGATTCTATGATTCTAAATACCTATCAGATTTTTTTTAAGTATAGCACCTCTTCCCTCATTTGTAGTTATTTTTCCACAGGTCTTCAAAATTGATTAACTATCTGGGTGAACAAGAATGCCTCATGGCCAGCATGACCAGATCATTGTTCTTTGTTTTGCTCCTTTATAGCAATGAAATTGCCACAGCAGTACAAGAAAATATTGCTGCAGGTGTACATTAAGATGTGTATCAGAATATACATCCAGACATGAATGTGATCCATCTACACTCTAGCCCTATCTAGATGCATGAAGATGGTGATGAGGAGGTAGATGGAGAGCAAGAATTCATACACTTGACCACCTCATAACAGTTAAGATATGATTAGAAAGTGTTTCTACGTGAACAACTATATAATTTTTGCCTGTTTTTCACAGTTCCTCTTGAAACAACTAAGCTGCTATTCCTGTTCTCTTTTTCCATGATGAATTTCCATCCTGTAGATATGAAAGAAGTTCCCAGCTCCATATGTCCTATGTGATTCTGCTTGTCTAGAAATATCCAAAGAGAGAGCCATATTTGGAATTATTTCTGGATAAAAGGAAAGAAAAATGTTTTGTGGCACCTTTAATGACTAATTTATTTCCTCTTAATCATTCATAGGCTACAGCCCACTTCTGCAGATGTATGCTACATCTGAAGAAGTGGGCTGTAACTCACAAAAGCTTATGCTAAAAGAAACCTGTTAATCTTAAAAGGATCCATAAGACCATTTTTTTCTTTCTTTTGTCTAGAAATAATTTTAAAATATCTCACTTTAACTGTATAATAACAAGTAGACATATGGATCTATCATCAGCCTTCTTTTCTTCATCCCCTTTCATTTTTTTTAAAATCCATTTTAACATTTTAACTTATACATGAGTATATACAGTAGGTTTCCCCTGTTTCTCCACTGCATTATCATCTTCTTTTTCTCACTAGGCATGCTTCTGTTCTTAATGACCTTCTTTCTATTCTTTTCTATAATTCTCTTCATTTTGGCCCCTCCAGAACTTGCCATTTTCCACATTGAAATATTGCTAAAAATCATTATTTTTGTTTGTTTTTCCTGCAAAGATACTGCTTAGTTTTAAAAATCTTTCTGAGAATGGCATTTGTGATTCTCTTTCCCCCTTATTTTCTATTCATTTGCATTCTTACTTTATTAACTCTGCTGCTTGTCCCATGTTTCCTTGAACATTGTTTTGACCACATTTCAGCTTTTTTTGATCACTTTCATTGCATTCCATTTCTTTATAAAATCTAGTTTATGCTATTCCCTTTTGTTTTAAAATGCATCAGTATTGTCTCTTCTCTTACTTCTCTTCCCCCCCCCCCTTTTGCTTGCCTATTGCCTCCACTCAGCTGATGTTTTCCTTGTAACTAAATCTTTTGGTTCACAACTCATTTTTCCCTCTTCTAATTTTCTTTGATACTTGCATTTCCCACCTTAGGGGTTGCTTTAAAATAATCTACTCATCAATGTATCTTCTTCATTAAACTACACATTTGGCATAATTTTCTTGAAGTCCATATACAATAAAAACATTACACAGCACAATCAATAAATATCATATACCCCTTTTCTTTCTTTTATCTCTTTCTCTCTACTACTCTCCCTCTTGTCTGCCGATGGCTCAATCAATCACTTTATTTAAAT